TGCAAACTGACATCAGGAACCTGCCCTCATATGTTTGGTTTCCCAGGGAAAAGGGCCGGCGTTCATGTCTTCAGTCACTTTCATTCACTTTCAGTGACTCAGGACCACAGGGGGTGTGGTTCCGAGTCACTTACTGCCTCCTTAATTTGCAAATGCCACAGGATTTCTCCCAGACAAAAGCTGCAAGGAGCTACAGCTTCGGCTGGCCTAGGATGGCCAGATCTATTCTCTAAACTTGGCCCAAGACAACTGAAGTCACAGTGTGGTAAAGAGCCCCTTCTGAGGTCCTCAGACCTCACTACAGGATCAGAACATGCTCAGCAACATCTGAAACTCTTATAAATAAATAAAAAAGGGGCAATGCCATTTCCCCCACAGCAGGCCCCACTAACCCCACCCCAAGTCCCAGTGTCCCTGCGGGGAGGAGAAGCAAACGACAGAGAGGACAGCTGGAGGCAGAGACAGACCCCTTTATTGGAGTCATGCTCGGGGATCCCAGCAGGCAGAGGCCCTTTGGATGGGGCGGGGGGTTACGAGGGTCTGGGGGCTGGGGGCGGTTCAGCTGCGCTCCTCCAGGCTCAGGCGGTCGAACAGGTACTCCCCGAGGCCGGCCGAGACCTCGCCGGGCCCCGAGGTGCCGCCGGCAAGGCGCCGCAAGTTGGTGGCGTGGTCACCCAGCGCCTTGATGGCCTTCACTTGCTCGTCCAGGTAGTGGGACTCCAAAAAGTCACAAAGCTGTGGGACAGAGGGATATCAGGCCAGGGCCAAGGCTCTGGGGGATGTGAGGGGGACCCCCAGGAGATCCCGTGGGAGAGAGAGCCCCAGGGTGATCCCAAGTGGGAAAAGGGAGGAATTGGCAGCACTTGGAGCTGGGGAGGGGGGTGTCAGACCCTCGAGGGGCTGGGGGTGGGAGATCAGACCCTCGAGGGGCTGGGGGGGGGGAGATCAGACCCTCGAGGGGCTGGGGGGTGGGAGATCAGACCCTGGAGGATTTGGGGGCTCAGAGCCAAGGCAGCACTCACATGGGGGTCCCCCTTCTCGGCAGCCAGGGCGTGCAGCTCCAGCAGCGCTTGGTTCACCGACTTCTCCAGTGCCAGCGCCGCCTCCACCGCCTCCAGCGCCGAGCCCCAGGTGTCCCGCTCCGGCTTCTGCGGGGCACCGAGCGTCACTCGAGGGGCCCGGGCAGCCCCCGGCCCCGGCTGCAGCCCCCCTACCCCCCGCTCACCTTGATGTCCTGCAGCAGAAAGCGGCCCCCGCGGTTGGTCTGGAAGCGCAGCAGCCCCTCGGCGTGCTCCCGCTCCTCCCGCGACTGCTCCAGGAAGAACCGCGACAGTCGCGATAGGGCCACGTCGTCCCTGTCGAAGTAAAAGCCCTGCGGGACGGAGGGGAGGGAGGGGAGGTCAGGGGGAGGAACCCCCCAAAATTCCTGGCATTCCGGCCCTGCCGGGCGGGCGGCACTTGACAGTGCCAAGTGCCTCCTGCAAACTGACATCAGGAACCTGCCCAGGTGAGTTTTGTTTCCCAGGGAAAAGGGCCGGTGTACTTCTGCAGGGCCCACTGGCCCGGAGTGCCAGCTGCCTGCTGAAATCCCAAACGTCGCAGGATGCCTCCCAGACACAAGGTGCCACCACAGGCAAGTGTGGCTGGTTTGACAGTGCCAAGTGCCTGCTGCAAACTGACATCAGGAACCTGCCCTCATATGTTTGGTTTCCCAGGGAAAAGGGCCGGCGTTCATGTCTTCAGTCACTTTCATTCACTTTCAGTGACTCAGGACCACAGGGGGTGTGGTTCCGAGTCACTTACTGCCTCCTTAATTTGCAAGTGCCACAGAATTTCTCGCAGACAAAAGCTGCAAGGAGCTACAGCTTGGGCTGGCCTAGGATGGCCAGATCTATTCTCTAAACTTGGCCCAAGACAACTGAAGTCACAGTGTGGTAAAGAGCCCCTTCTGAGGTCCTCAGACCTCACTACAGGATCAGAACATGCTCAGCAACATCTGAAACTCTTATAAATAAATAAAAAAGGGGCAATGCCATTTCCCCCACAGCAGGCCCCACTAACCCCACCCCAAGTCCCAGTGTCCCTGCGGGGAGGAGAAGCAAACGACAGAGAGGACAGCTGGAGGCAGAGACAGACCCCTTTATTGGAGTCATGCTCGGGGATCCCAGCAGGCAGAGGCCCTTTGGATGGGGCGGGGGGTTACGAGGGTCTGGGGGCTGGGGGCGGTTCAGCTGCGCTCCTCCAGGCTCAGGCGGTCGAACAGGTACTCCCCGAGGCCGGCCGAGACCTCGCCGGGCCCCGAGGTGCCGCCGGCAAGGCGCCGCAAGTTGGTGGCGTGGTCACCCAGCGCCTTGATGGCCTTCACTTGCTCGTCCAGGTAGTGGGACTCCAAAAAGTCACAAAGCTGTGGGACAGAGGGATATCAGGCCAGGGCCAAGGCTCTGGGGGATATAGTTTTTCATCCCCTGCAAATTTTTTGAGGGTTTTTTTTTGGGGGGGGGCGGGGGACACGCCCCCAGGGAGCGTCGCGTTTGTCGCGTTTGCTTTTTTATTTCCATGGAAATTCCCGAGATACAAAAACCAAGGTACAAAAAAAAGAGAAGAAAAAAAAAATCACTACGGAGAGAAGCGATTGGGGGGGGGAGGTGGGCCCCATTTTTGGGGAGCGGTGGTCCCCCCGTGTGATGTCACTCCAGTGACGTCAGCACCGTGGGGGTTGGGGGGAGGGGTCGCTTTGCCCACTCCCCCTCCTCTGCCTCGGGGGGACCTCCCAAAACTGGGGGGGTGTAAACGGGGGGTGCGGCCCCCCCCACCCTGAGACCCCCACCCCGGGAGAACTCTCAAGGGCCAGGCAGATCCAACTCCACAGAAGCTTTAATCTGAGAAAAACCAGTTGCCTGCTGAAATCCGTAACGTTGCAGGATGCCTCCCAGAGGCAAGGTGCCACCACAGGCAAGTGTGGCTGGTTTGACAGTGCCAAGTGCCTCCTGCAAACTGACATCAGGAACCTGGCCTGGTGAGTTTTGTTTCCCAGGGAAAAGGGCCGCCGTTCGTGTCCAGGGCCCGCCGGCCCGGCGTGCCAGCTGCCTGCTGAAATCCCGAACTTGTCTGTCTGTGACTGTGGTACATGTGCAAACCAACCATGGGACTGTTATAAAGACAATTCTAACAAATCCCTGAGGGCGTAAAGCATGGAAGAAGGCCTTTGAATCTATTCTTTGTTCACAATTAACCTTTATAAGTCTTAAGTTGATTAATTCACAATAGTGTATAGAATTGTGACGTAAAAATTGGGACTAAAAACTTCTGAGAGAGCTCATGAGTACCCCTGTAAATATCTCTAAGTCTCAACCATCGGCGTGCAGCTGGAGGTAAAACCTGCCCCGCTGTACCCAGCGCTGTATTGCTCATACTTTACCATATTAATTAATAAACTGATTGCTGCTTGAATATTGGCCTAGTGAAGCTTCTCATTTATAACACTAGTGAGAAATAAAATCTTGTGTTTAGGCAGCGTAGGTAGATAAATTGTAAAATTTGCTGTTAACATAATTACTGCTTTGTGACTAATGAGTAGTGTGACTGAGGATGGGGGAGGAGAATACTAATTATATTTATAGTCCCTCTCCCTTTGGGATCTCTAATTAGGGCCATCTACATGATAAATAAAAATAAGGAAAAGAATAGCCTCTCAGGCTATTAAGTACATGCCAGGCTCACCCTTCTCTGAGACATTTGGTCCTAGGGCACAGAAAGAAGTGCCCTGAAATGTATTTTAAAACCCTTAAAGTGCTGAAAAAGGCAGAGCTTCCTTCCGGTGACCCCCTCAAAACGAGGAAACGCCGAAACTTCCCTTGGAGCTATGTTCCATGCCCAGGTGCAGCCAGGTGCTCCCCGCAGCCTCTGCGACACGCTCCAACCATCCTTCCCTGAGGGATCCCCCTCGGGAATCCTCCCTCGCCCCTTGTCCCCCACCCTGCTCAGGTGCGCACGGGTAAGCCCCGCTAGCGGGCCCCAGCAGCACCCGCCTCCTCCTCGTCGGCACTGTCCACACCGGGGCTCAGTGCGCGGCCTGGGGGAAGCGGCGGAGTTTTATTCCCGAGGAAAAGCGGGCGGAGTTTTATTCCCGAGGAAGAGGCGCCATGTTCCCTGCCGCCACACTGCCGTAAAGCACCGCCCCCAACCCCGCCGCGCGCATCGCGCCGCCGTAAAGCGCGGCGGAAGATGGCGGCGGTGACGGTGTGGGAGCCGCGGGCCGTGCCAGGCCCCGCCGGGCCGCAGCGGGAATGGACGGCGGAGCCCGTCAGCACCGGCGTGAGTGGGGCGGGGGCATCCGCCTGGAGGGCTGCGGGCTCGCGGTGGGCGTGTTACGGAGCTGGAGGAGCCGCCATGGCGGGGAGAGGCGAGCTGTGGGGAGGAGGGTCTGCGGTGTGCGGCTGAGGGTGGAGCTGGGGCTGGGGGGAGCAGAGCTCCCTGGAGAGTGCGGGAAGGGGAATATGGGCCGGGGGGACCCCCTGGAGAGGGGCTCCTGTGGGGAGGGGGAGAGTTGCTGTGCGGCCGGGAGTTCTTTGGAAAGGCGGTTTCTGCGGGGCTGGATCTGCTGTGGGAGGGGGTTTCTGTGGGGCAGGGAGTCTGAGCTGAGCCCTTCCCTCCCCCCAGACCACCATCATGGCCGTGGAGTTTGACGGAGGTGTCGTCATAGGGGCTGACTCCCGAACCACCACCGGGTGAGCGCCGAGGGCCGTGACGCCATCAGTGACGTCACGGGGCCCCGGGATCGTGTCGTGGGGTTGTCACTCTTGTCAGGGTGTTACTGTGGTGCCACTGGGAAGCCACCCCCAAAAGCTGTGGGCAGGGTCCCAGGTGTCCCCAGGTATCAGTGTCACACCTTGCCTCGTCTCAGGCGTTTTCCATCACCAAAACCATCCAAAAATCCTTTATTTATGTGGAATAATCCCCCCTGCCACGGGCGTTTTCCATCACCAAAACCATCCAAAAATCCTTTATTTATGTGGAATAATTCCCACAAAAATATTCTCAGGTTAAAGTTTGTCCTCTTGGTCCCAGTCCTTGGGTTTTTCTCCACAGATCCCATTTTTATTGGCCAAATTGTTTTTCCTCTTTTAGGGGGAGTTTTCAATCCCACAGTAAATACATTTTTTGATTAAAATTGCATTTAAATCCTGTGTTAAAACCACGTGTCACCTCGTGTCACCTGGGGGTTTGTCACAGTAGCCCCACATGCTGCTGGCGTACCCGGGTGCCACCTCCAGTTTGTTTCTCCTGTGGCAGTGTCACCTTGTGTCACCTCAGGGCTTTGTTACTCCTGTGGCAGTGTCACCTGGGAGTTTGTTCCTCTTGTGGCAGTGTCACCCTGTATCCCCTCAGGGCTTTGTTGCTCCTGTGGCAGTGTCACTTTGTCACCTCAGGGCTTTGTTCCTCCTGTGGCAGTGTCACCTTGTATCACCCCAGGGCTTTGTCACAGTAGCCCCACGCTGCTGGGACACCCGGGTGCCACCTCCCCGGTGACACACCCCCCGTGTCCCGCAGGGCCTACATCGCCAACCGCGTGACGGACAAACTGACCCCCGTCCACGACCGCATCTTCTGCTGCCGCTCGGGCTCGGCGGCCGACACGCAGGCGGTGGCCGACGCCGTGGCCTACCAGCTGGCCTTCCACAGGTACCCGCCGCGGGCGTGGGGCGTGGGGCAGGGCCGGGGGGGGCCGTGGCAGCGAGCCCCGGCCCCACGCCCGGCCCTGCCCCGCAGCGTGGAGCTGGAGGAGCCGCCGCGGGTGCGCACGGCCGCGCGCCTCTTCCAGCAGAGCTGCTACCGCTACCGCGAGGAGCTCAGCGCCGGCATCATCGTGGCTGGCTGGGACCCGCGCCGGGGGGGACAGGTGGGCTGCCTGCGCTTGTTTCTGCCCCAGCACGTGCCCTTTTAGTGCCCTGGAGTGTCCCTCTTTCTGCCCTGGAGTGTCCCTCTTTCTGCCCTGGAGTGTCCCCCTTTCTGCCCTGGAGTGCTCCCTTTTCTGCCCTGGAATGTTCCCCTTTCTGCCCTGGAGTGTCCTTTTTTTCCACCCTGGAGTGCTCCCCTTTCTGCCCTGGTGTGTCCTTTTTCCTTTCCCACCCTGCAGCATTTCTCTTTCTTCCCTGGCATACCGTTTTTTCCACCCTGGAGTGCTCCCCTTTCTGTCACTTCTTTTGCCCCGAGTGTCCCCTTTTCTGTCCAGGAGTGTCTCACTCTGCCCCACATCTCCTTCTGCCTCCTGGTATCCCCTTCTCTACCCCACAGCACTCACCTCTGCCCTACAGCCCCCCCTTTCTGCCCCAAAACCCCATCTTTTCCCTACAGCCCCCCCTTTCTGCCCCATATCCCTGTGTTTTCCCTACAGCCCTCCCTTTTTCTGCCCCTTAACCCCATCTTTTCCCCACAGCCCGCCCATCTTTCTGCCCCACAGCCCCTTCCCTTGCCCAACAGCACCCTACAGCCCCCCCCTGTGCCCCCCAGGTGTACGTGGTGCCGATGGGGGGGCTCCTCCTGCGCCAGCCCTTCGCTGTGGGGGGCTCAGGCAGCTCCTACATCTACGGATTCCTGGATGCCACGTTCCAGCCTGGGATGAGCCGCTCCCAGTGCCAGGAATTCGTCGCCCGTGGTGGGTTTGGGGCATATTGGAGAATTTGGATGGGGGGGGAAGGGTCCTGAGAAGGGGCTTGGGAGACAATTTGGGGGCACAGAGGAGTTTGGCTGGGGTTTGGGCGTGTCCTGGGAGGGGATTTGGGGAACATGGAGGGGGTTTGGGTGACCCTGGAAGGGGATTTTGGGGCACAGAGGAGTTTGGGCAGTGCTCAGGGGTTTTGGGATGGTTTGGGGATCCACGAGTGGTTTTGGGTTCCTGACGTGTGCTCCCCCAGCTCTGGCCCTGGCCATGGTGCGGGACGGCTCCAGCGGGGGTGTCATCAGGCTGGCAGCCATCACGGAGGAGGGGGTGGAACGGACAGTCCTGGCCGGCTCTGACCTGCCCTGGGGTGATGGTGGCCCCCCCGTGTGAGGGGGAGCCCCCCCAGGAGTCCCCACTTTGGCGGGGGAGACAATGAATGGCTCTGCTGGATGTCCCTGGGCTCTGCCTTTGCAGCCCCCCCTGCTGTCACCCTGTCCCCGAGGGGGGCAAGGCCACAGCCACGGGGTGACAGTGACAGAGCCAGACCCCACCGCTGGTGTGACAGAGATAAAGCGCCCCCCAACGTCTGTGGGTCTTGCTTTAATTACATGATCACGATCCATGATTCGTTAACGAAGCGCGGGGTGGAGGGTGCTGGGGGAAGGGGGCAGGGGGGGGAATTTCGGGGGGCTCCTGCCCCACACTGTGACCTTGATATTGGCTGGTAACAAAACCCCCAGAGGGGTGGGAAGGGAGCACAGGGGGAGGGCACCCTACAGTCTCTCCAGGGCTGCCCCACAGGGACAAGGCATCCCCTGGTGTCCCTGTGGGAGGGATCCAGCACCCCTGTGTCAGCTCCAGGGCCCTTCACAGGACCCCAGGGATCCCTAGAGCCCCGAGGAATGGGTCGTGCACCCCTACAGGGCCCAAGACCCCTCCATAGGGCCCCAGGACCCATTCATGATGGGGGTGGTCAGGCACTCCTACAGAGCCACCTCCCCCCAACCCCTGGTGGTGTGGGGGGGTCAGGCACCCCCACAGCACCTGAGGGAGCAGTCAGTCACCCCCAAAGCCCCTTCACTGGGGGTCAAGTGGCCCTGCAGAGCCCACGGGATGGGGTCAGATCCCCCCGACCCCCCCCGGGGGTGTCAGGCACTGAGGAAGAGCCGCTGGTACCACTTGTTCATCTGCTCGAGGAAGATGAAGGTGAGCACGGTGTGGGGGCCCAGGCGGGCGTAGTAGGGGGTGAAGCCCTTCCAGAGGCTGAAGAAGCCCTCGTAGCGCACCACCTTGAGCAGCACGTCCTGCAGGAGGAGCAGCAGGGTGTCAGGGGGCCCCCAAAACAACAGGGAACCTCCTGAACAACTCAGGAGTGCCCTTCCCCGGGGAGGATGGGAAACTGCCTTGAAATAACAGGGACGCTCTCAAAATGATGGGGAATCCTCCCAAAATGATGGGAAACATTCCAGAAACGCCACCAAAATGATGGGGAATCCTCTCAAAATTATGAGAAACCTTCCAAAAATGACAGGGATCCCCTCCCCACCAAAATGATGGGGAATCCTCCCAAAATGATGGGAAACCTTCCAAAAATGACAGGGATCCCTTCCCCAAGATCATGGGGAATCCTCCCAAAATACCAGGGCAGCTCCCCAAAATTATGGGCATCTCCTCAAAACGACCCGAATTTCTCCCCCCACCTCCAATGACAGGCAGCACCCCCAAAACGGCGTGAAACCCCCCTGCCAGTTGAAAGGGAGCTCCCAAAGTGCCAGAGGAGCCCCCCACCCCGAATTACAGGGTTGCCCCCCCCCCGAGCCCCTGGCTCACCAGCCCGTTGCGGTACTCGGGTTTCCCATCTATCGTCCGCATGTTCTGGATCCTGCCGGGGAGGAATTCAGCCCTTAAACAGGAGGTTTTGGGGCGACCACGCGTCCCACCTAAAGGGGAGCAGGGGGTCCTCGCCCACCCCCCCAAAAAACAATGAACGCACCGGGTCTTGACGATGTCGACGGGCATGGAGGCGGCCGTGGTCACCAGCCCGCTGATCATGCTGGCGCAGAAGTGGCACAGGATGTCGTCACGGAAATGCCCTGGGGGCACCCCAAAACATCAGAGGGGAACGAGGCCAGGGAGTGCACAGGGATTTACGGCCACTCCCCCACCCTGAACTCACCGGAGTCAAGCAGGAATTGTTTGGATTGGGAGTAGGAGGCGAGCTGGGCGGCGTTGACCACCACGGCACGGGCCATGGTGGGGATACAGCCCTGGGGGGAAACGGCGTGGGTGGGTGGGTGCTGTGTGCCCCCAGAGCCCAGCACAGCCCCCCTGCAGTGCCTCTGCCCCCAGGGACCCTGCTCTGCCCCCTCGCTCCGTGGGGACACGGCACCGGGGTGGGAGATGGCATTTGGGGGGCAGCACTGGGGTGGGAGATGGCATTTGGGGGGCAGCACTGGGGTGGGAGATGGCATTTGGGGGGCAGCACTGGGGTGGGAGATGGCATTTGGGGGGCAGCACTGGGGTGGGAGATGGCATTTGGGGGGCAGCACTGGGGTGGGAGATGGCATTTGGGGGGCAGCACTGGGGTGGGAGATGGCATTTGGGGGGCAGCACTGGGGTGGGAGATGGCATTTGGGGGGCAGCACTGGGGTGGGAGATGGCATTTGGGGGGCAGCACTGGGGTGGGAGATGGCATTTGGGGGGCAGCACTGGGGTGGGAGATGGCATTTGGGGGGCAGCACTGGGGTGGGAGATGGCATTTGGGGGGCAGCACTGGGGTGGGAGATGGCATTTGGGGGGCAGCACTGGGGTGGGAGATGGCATTTGGGGGGCAGCACTGGGGTGGGAGATGGCATTTGGGGGGCAGCACTGGGGTGGGAGATGGCATTTGGGGGGCAGCACTGGGGTGGGAGATGGCATTTGGGGGGCAGCACTGGGGTGGGAGATGGCATTTGGGGGGCAGCACTGGGGTGGGAGATGGCATTTGGGGGGCAGCACTGGGGTGGGAGATGGCATTTGGGGGGCAGCACTGGGGTGGGAGATGGCATTTGGGGGGCAGCACTGGGGTGGGAGATGGCATTTGGGGGGCAGCACTGGGGTGGGAGATGGCATTTTGGGGGGCACAGCTCCCCCCCCCCAGAGCACGAGGACACCCCCCTGCACCCCTGGGGAGGGTCATGGGAGCACCCTGGGGTCCCACAGCCCCCCACGTACCCTCCAGAGCGTGAGCACCCCCTCCTCCCTGGCCATCCTCACGAGGGCATCGAACACGTTGTGGTACCCGCGACGCTCGCCGGGGGGTAGCCTGGGATTCGGGACACAAAAAGGGCATTTTGGTCAAAAAAGCAGGCTGGGGGGAGGCGGATGGGGGGCACGGAGAGGGCTGGGGGCTCACCTGCCGTCGGCTGTCATGCGGATGAGGGCCACCTCCGCCGGGGTCCCCACGAAGGCCCCCGCCGCCCCTGCTGTCATGCCCATGGCTGCCTTGGCCAGGAACGGGGGGGGGGTCCCGTCAGCCCCCCCAAAACGCTCCAGCAGGACGCTGTAGATGCCCAGGCGGGTGGTGGTGTAGGTGGCCTGGCGCAGCAGCCCCGCCGACAGCCTGCAGGGACACAGAGAACGGGAGCAATCCCAAAAACGGGGGCAGCCAACACCTCGAGCCTGGCGGGCGTTTTGGGCGGGGGGCGGGGGGGGGCTGTCTCCCGTTAAATCACCCCTGCAGCATGAGCGTGCGGGTTTGGGGGCTCAAGAGGGGGTTCAGGGGGGTCCATACCCCGTGTAGATGCCCCTGAGCCCCTCGTGGCGCAGGATGGAGCCCAGGGCGTGCAGGGACGTGCGGTACTCGCGGCCCTTGGCCCCGGCCCCGCTCAGCTGCATCCGGTTCTTCACCAGGTCCAGGGGCTGCACGAACACCGTAGCCCCCATCCTGAAAGAAAACGGGGTCCCCGAAATTAACTCACAGCCCCCCCAGATCCACCCAGCCTGGGGTGGACGAGGGACTCTGAAGGAGCTTTGGGGATTTATGGGGCACAGGGAGGGTATGAGGGGAGTGGGATGGGGTTTTGAGAGGCGGATTTTGGAATGGCTTTGGGAGGACGATTGGTGGCCATGGGAGGGTTGGGGGGTCCGAAGGGGGTTTGGGGGGCACTTGAAGGGATTTGGGGGAGGCTGTGCGCCCCAAGGTGACTCGGGGGGGGCGCGGCGCCAGTGCGCCTGCGCGGAGCGCCTGCGCGGCGCCAGGGCGGGGGGCCCCGCGCAGGGAGCGCGGCTGGGCGGGAAGCACCGCCCCTTGGGCGGGCGGGGCGTGGCCGCGCGCGCCCCGAGGGCGTGTTCCGCCCCCGCGCCTCTCATTGGTGGAGCGTGTTTAGGCGGGAAGGGGAGCGCTTCGGTAAGCGAGGGGATTGGTCGGGGCGGAGGCAGGAGCGAGTAGCCCCGCCCCTCTCTCGCGATAGTTCGCCATCTTGGGGGGCTGAGGGGAGCCGGCGGCGGCGGCGGCGGGAGGGGTCGGCGGCCGGCCCCTCACGGACCCGGTGCCGCTGCTGCTCTGCGCCGTGGGGCGATGCCTGTCCCGTGCTCTTCCAGGCGGTGAGTGCTGGGGGTACTGGGAGATACGGGGAGTCATTTGGGACACTGGAGGGCGCTGTCAGGTGCTGGAAGGCTCAGGCTGTGCGGGGAAGCACTTGGTACGCTAGGGGAAATCACTGGGAGGCACTTTGAGCGCACTGGGGGTCACTGGGAGGCGCTTTGGGTGCACTGGGCGGCACTTTGGGTGCACTGGGAGGCGCTTTGGGGTCACTGGGAGGCACTTTGGGTGCACTGAGGGACATTTGGAGGCCTTTGGGTGCACTGGGAGGCACTTTGGGGTGACTGGGGGTCACTGGGAGGTGCTTTGGGGTCACTGGGGGGCACTTGGAGGCACTTAGAGATCACTGGGCGGCACTTTGAGCACACTGGGGGTCACTGGGAGGCCCTTTGGGGTCACTGGGGGGCCCTTTGGGGTCACTGAGGGGCACTTTGGGGGCACTGGGGGGCCCTTTGGGGTCACTGAAGGGCCCTTTGGGGTCACTGAGGGGCACTTTGGGGGCACTGGGGGGCCCTTTGGGGTCACTGAAGGGCCCTTTGGGGTCACTGAGGGGCACTTTGGGGGCACTGGGGGGCCCTTTGGGGTCACTGAAGGGCCCTTTGGGGTCACTGAGGGGCACTTTGGGGGCACTGGGGGGCCCTTTGGGGTCACTGAAGGGCCCTTTGGGGTCACTGAGGGGCACTTTGGGGGCACTGGGGGGCCCTTTGGGGTCACTGAAGGGCACTTTGGGGTCACTGAGGGGCCCTTTGGGGTCACTGGGAGGCACTTTGGGGTCACTGGGGGGCCCTTTGGGGTCACTGGGAGGCCCTTTGGGGTCACTGGGGGGCCCTTTGGGATCACTGAGGGGCCCTTTGGGATCACTAGGAAGCACTTTGAGCACACTGGGAGGCCCTTTGGGGTCACTGGGGGGCCCTTTGGGGTCACTGAGGGGCACTTTGAGCACACTGGGAGGCCCTTTGGGGTCACTGAGGGGCACTTTGAGCACACTGGGAGGCCCTTTGGGGTCACTGGGCGGCCCTTTGGGGTCACTGAGGGGCACTTTGGGATCACTGGGTGGCAGTGAAGGATGTCTGGCTCTACCAGGGGCAATCTTGCGTGCATCAGTCAGCAGCAGGGTCACTCAGAGCCCCCCTACTCAAACTGGCACATCCCGCTGACCTCTAGTGCTGGGTCTAACTGGGAGTCACTGGTGAGGTGCTGCACCCACCCCCCCCCCCCCCCCCCCCCAGTTTGGGGGTACCCCTGAGGTGTTGGGGACAGCAGGGGGCACGCGGTGGCAGGGATGACACAGGTGGCAGCGTGCTGCAGGTGTCACACCTGGACACGGAGGGGGGACGACGACGCTGTCCTGCAGGATGTGGGGGTCACCCACAGGGACACAGCTACACCTGGGGACCCCAACGCCTGGGTCCATCCTCCATCCGTGCTGGGTGAGGGGACAGGGGGAAGGACGGTGCCACCCGCCCCACGGCCCAACCCCCGGTACCCCAATTCCTGCCGTGGGGCAACCGCGGGCCCTTCCCCCCTTCCGTGAGTCACACGGGGGGTGAGGGGGGGACAGGAAGCGCCAGAGCCACCACGTTGTCCTTATAAGGACTCGGCAGCACCGGAGCAGCTTCCTGCAGCCCGTCCTGCTGCACATCTCCTGCTGCACCCCACAGCACCTCCCACATCCCCATCTCTGCCCCTCATCAACCACCCCAGCACCTCCCACATCCCCATCTCTGCCCCTCATCAACCACCCCAGCACCTCCCACATCCCCATCTCTGCCCTTCTTCACCCCGTATCAACCACCCCAGCACCTCCCAGTCCCCACCTCTGCCCCTGAACACCTAGAGCCCTGCCCGACTATCCAGACCTCCTGCCCCCGATTCCCCCTCGTTCCATCCCAGCTGACCTTCCCCCCTGCCAGTGCAGCCCCCCAATAAAGCCTCTGCCCCCCAGCCTTGCCTCCTGAGCGTTGGGAGGGGTGGGGGCCGAAATTAACTCACAGCCCCCCCAGATCCACCCAGCCTGGGGTGGACGAGGGACTCTGAAGGAGCTTTGGGGATTTATGGGGCACAGGGAGGGTTTGAGGGGAGCGGGATGGGGTTTTGAGAGGCGGATTTTGGAATGGCTTTGGGAGGACGATTGGTGGCCATGGGAGGGTTGGGGGGTCCGAAGGGGGTTTGGGGGGCACTTGAAGGGATTTGGGGGAGGCTGT